TGAGGTGGCCAAAGTATTGGAGCTTCACGATCTGTCCTTCCAGTGAGCACTCAGGGCTGATTTCCTTCAGAATGGAGAGGTTTGATCTTCTTGCAGTCCATGGGACTCTCAAGAGTCTCCTCCAGCACCATAATTCAAAAGCATCAATTCTTTGGCGATCAGCCTTCTTTATGGTCCAACTCTCACTTCCATACATCACTACTGGGAAAACCATAGCTTTTACTATACGGACCTTTGTTGGCAAGGTGATGTCTCTGCTTTTTAAGATGCTGTCTAGGTTTGTCATCGCTTTTCTCCCAAGAAGCAGGCGTCTTTTAATTTCATGGCTGCTGTCACCATCTGCAGTGATCATGGAGCCCAAGAAAGTAAAATCTCTCACTGCCTCCATCTCTCCCCTTCTATTTGCCAGGAGGTGATGGGGTCGTCAGGATACTGCCACTGTTTTCATTGGCCAGAAGAGATTGAGATATCTGAGGCACAGCTCAGAGCAGACCGGATGTGTTGCCCATTCTTATTGCTGGCACATTTGTATTTGATTTTGAATTGCACCTGCAACGATGGAGCCTTGTAATAACTATAATGGGTGTGGCGACAAAGTGAAGATTTAGCTGTAGAAGTATATTTCCTTTTCTTGTCCCCGATGCTGTACGGTGAGATTCCAACTTTTCTGATGGCATTGACGCTGTGCAATTTGATCGGGTGAAATGCAGACTTAAAGGCTCCCCTTATTATAATGCAAGAGCCAAACTGGTCATGAAATCTAATGAGCCTAAACAGAACTTTGGAGATAATTTGAAGGTGGGTTAATGGTTTGGTGGTGGGTTTTTAAAAAAAAAAAAGAGAGAGAGAGAGAGAGAGAGAGAGAGAGAGAGAGAGAGAGGACAAGCTTCCCTTCAGTACTGCAGAGAAGATAACGGGCTTTTTGAGCACATATGAGATTTATGGATATAACTTATCCAAGGTCTCAATTCCCAGTAATAACCTTCGTTGTTCTTTCCTATTTCTCCCACCTGCTACAGTCAAACAGACTGAAGGAGAAATGAACCTGCTAGAAAAACAGTGCTCCGACCTCATGGGCTTTCATAGTATGAAGAAAAGACCACTTTCAAGAAATCAAAAGCTCAAGATCTCCATTTGAAGGCTGGAGGTGCTAAGAAAGTATGTTGTTGTTGTTTAGTCGTTTAGTCGTGTCCGACTCCTCGTGACCCCATGGACCAGAGCATGCCAGGCACTCCTGTCTTCCACTGCCTCCCGCAGCTTGGTCAAACTCATGCTGGTAGCTTCGAGAACACTGTCCAACCCCCTCGTCGTCCCCTTCTCCTTGTGCTCTCCATCTTTCCCAACATCAGGGTCTTTTCCAGGGAGTCTTCTCTTCTCATGAGGTAGCCAAAGTAGTGGAGCCTCAGCTTCAGGATCTGTCCTTCCAGTGAGCACTCAGGGCTGATTTCCTTCAGAATGGAGAGGTTTGATCTTCTTGCAGTCCATGGGACTCTCAAGAGTCTCCTCCAGCACCATAATTCAAAAGCATCCATTCTTCGGCGATCAGCCTTCTTTATGGTCCAGCTCTCACTTGCATACATCACTACTGGGAAAACCATAGCTTTTACTATACGGACCTTTGTTGGCAAGGTGATGTCTCTGCTTTTTAAGATACTGTCTAGGTTTGTCATCGCTTTTCTCCCAAGAAGCAGGCGTCTTTTAATTTCGTGGCTGCTGTCACCATGTGCAGTGATCATGGAGCCCAAGAAAGTAAAATCTCTCACTGCCTCCATTTCTTCCCCTTCTATTTGCCAGGAGATGATGGGACCAGTGGCCATGATCTTCATTTTTTTTTTTTATGTTGAGCTTCAAACCATATTTTGCACTCTCCTCTTTCACCCTCATTAAAAGGTTCTTTAATTCCTTCTCACTTTCTGCCATCAATGTTGTGCCATCTGAATATCTGAGGTTGTTGATATTTCTTCCGGCAATTTTAATTCCGGCTTGGGATTCATCCAGCCCAGCCTTTCACATGATGAATTCTGCACATATGTTAAATAAGCAGGGAGACAATACACAGCCTTGTCGTATATTGTTCCCTTCATGGATCACTGCCCCTTCATGGATCACTGCCTTGCCATGGCGAAGGGGCTTGAACAACTCAGAGAAGCTATGAGCTATGCTGTGCAGGGCCACCCAGGTTGGACAGGACATAGTGGAGAGTTTTGACCAAACGTGATCCACCTGGAGCAGGAACTGGCAAACCACTCCAGTATCCCTGCCAAGAAAACTCCATGGACAAAGACAACAGGCATATAAAAGAAAGTATAAGTCTCTTGTTTATTGGCTCAGATTCCCCCCCCCCCCGCCCTTAAATGGGACTCTGAACAAGCATAAAATAGTCCTCACCGAAAGGAATACTAGCAAATCAGCTGTTTCACTAGAATATCTTTTTCAGATCCATGTGTTTCTAATTCCTTGGGGAACATCCCCCCCCCCCCCGCCGTTGGATTGTGATTTGAGCTGTAGCTGCCAGGCTGAATTCCTCCCACATGTCTGGTGATTAAATGCAATTCTTGCTGCTGCAACCTCAACTTCCAAAAAGCACTTCCTATAAGAACATTTATTTCTGCTTTATATCAGATAATATCATAGCTGCAATCAATTAAAAGAATAGATTGTCATCTGATTGCCAGATTTATATGATGAACAAGCAACCTGTCTGAGCAATTTTTCACCAGTTTTTTTCATAACACTAACCCAGGGAAAGAAATGATTTCTTCCAGAGAATCAGCTGTAACAGCCTCTCCCATAATAGGACAATAATAAACTCTAAAGCATTTTAAAGAGCCAATCACTTCTATACATGTAGATATGTACGTGAAGACAGATGTTATATGAAATGAACGTAATTAAAAATATGTAGACAAATCAAATATATCTCAGTATATTGAAAATACAAGTGCTGAAATGTAAGCCATCAAACAATAATTACATCATCTACAAAGACACATCAGATTATGGGCATGCCAAATAATCCCTGGAGCTGTAGTTTATCCAATTCTCAGCACTTTTAACAAACCACAGATCCCAGGATTTTGTGGAAGAACTTACCGTACTTTTCGCTCTATAGGACACACTGGACCATAGGATGCACCTTGTTTTAGAGGGGGAGAACAGGAAAAAATAATTCTCCCCCTCTCTGCTTAGTGCCCATTCAGCGAAGCGGCAGGAGAAATGGAGCCCCTTCCATTTCTCCTCCCGCTTCGCTGAAGGGACGCTGCGCAGAGAGGGAAAACTGTGCAGCGCCTCTCCAGCGAAGTGAAGCCTGGAGAGCAAGAGGGATCGGTGTGCACCGACCCCTCTCGCTCTCCAGGCTTCAGGCGGCTATCCACAAGCCTTCGGAGCGCAGCAGGGGAGAGCTCTCCCTCTGCACTTCGGAGGCTTTGCGTTGCTATCGCTGAAGCCAAGGAGCCTGCATTCGCTCCATAAGACGCACACACATTTCCCCTTAATTTTTGAAGGGGGAAAAGTGCATCTTATAGAGCGAAAAATACGGTATTTGCTGTAAACCTATCGTGTGCATGCATTTTAAAAAAGAAAAAGGTCAAGTATTTTGCAGTTTTCATTTGGAAACTGCAAAACAGCAGGCAGTCCAAGGAAGCTTTGAGCTGCATACACTGTGGGCTCTGGCAGGAATCGTGCAAGTGACTCACACGTCCTATGTTTTGCACTTTCGGGGGTTGTAATGTGTGAAGCATGGCCCTCTCTCTGGTGGAAAGTTATTATTTATTATTATTATTATTTGCAGGAATCCCATCTGCATTTGGAACTTGACGCATCAATCTCACCAAGGGAGAGAGGAACTCATTGCTATGACACACATTACACCGAACACACAACAAACTGGAAGCACAAAGCCCTTGTGTGCCCTCGGTAGGTGCTTCTCTGAACGTCCAAAGCTGTCCTTTGTCTGGCTGTCATGAAGACATGATGTCTGGGTTGCATTGTCTGAAGCAAAGGAAGCGAGTGAGACAACCTCTTTCTCTAGAGTCGCCCCATGCAGACCTATGGAGCTTGAAATGCAGCCAGACAGAATATTTAGGGTTGTGGTATTGTTGCTGGGTAAGTGTAAAAGGCAGCAGATTTCATGTGGGGTGGCGGGTTTCTCTCAACACCCCCCCTGCACAGCCCAGCATCGCTCTTCACTTCTTATAAGCTTGGGTCGGTGTGAATTCAGCTGTCTAAATTTAGGTCAGGTTTCCTCTATTCAAGGACGATCCGAAGAACACACTTGCCTCATTTGGGCTCTTGCTCTCTAGACTGTGTAACCCGAGAGCTTCCCTAGACAGTTAGGAGGCCAGCAGTCATTCCTTGGCTGGGAGAGCGTCTCACTCTCAGAATGTGGGGAGAGAGAGCAGGGCCACCACCGTGTGCTCTTTTGTCTCACTAATATCCTTAAAGGTCTCACCAAGGCCTGTTGATGCCAAATATTGTGCTCAGAAAGAATCGTACAAATCAATGCGTTTTGCCCATTAACCCGACTGTGCCTTGCTTAATGCTGAGACCCACAGAATTTGGAGAAATATAGACCCAAGTGGACGTTTACTTATGTTACTCCCAAGCCATGGTGGTAAGATTCCAAATTACATGAAGGCCTTTCAGGGTCAAGGCAGAAAGGTAAGGGTGCTTTAAGGAATAGGAGAGCGTCGTCATCTCTATGAAAACAGAAACTCTTCTTGTCCCCACCTCCAAGAGTCCTTACTCATGTGTAAGTGTGCCCAATATAGGGTTGCTGATGCTCTGGGATGGAGCCTTGGACCTAGGGTTGCATATATCCATAGGCATGAGCTGGAGGATCAGGTAGCAGAGACCAACGGCCTGGTGAGGACAAGGAAAGAGGAACGCCCAGCAAAAAATGCTCAAGCCAAACAGAACAGACTGTTATGTACTGAAGTTCTCACCCTGGGCCAACAGGGGGATACTGTAGATAGTTATGCAAATAAGGGATCGAAAGTGACGTTCAGTGATTGGATAGTTTTAGAAAGTTGTTACAGTAACGTTGTACTGGAGCTCTATATAAGCAGGCTGACTGAACCCTTCAGTTCGGTTCTGTCCTGGCCTGTGAATAAACAAGATCTGTTTGAAGATCCGCTGTGTCGTCTGATATGTTCACCCACAACTTAACACAGACCATTTGCGTCCCTTGGTGCTGGGATATAAGGGGCCAAGTACTGGAATCCTGAAGGCCAAGACCCAGGTTTGGGGCAAGGACTTTTTGGTGAGAGAACCCCAGGAGATATTTAACATCGCAAAACACGCAGCAAAGAAAAGTGTGGAAATCTAGACTGGGAAATCTTTTAAAGGTGCATGTCCAGTGACTCCCCCAAATATCGCCTTTAAAAATATATTTCCAAGTCATCCCACGTTCCTAGCACAGAGATACGTAGACCACACGTTTGTCAAGTCATGAAATGGTTTACTTGTAAAACTGTTCAAAGGTCAGATTCATGTGCCTTTCCATACAACAGCCAGAAAAGATGCACAGGCAGTTGAAACGTTGCTTAGCTCCAGATGGCAAAAGTTTCCAAAGTATTGGTAGAGGAAAACACTCATTTCAGACTCCATGCTAAAGTCATGCTCAGAGTTCCTGAAGTTCATATGGAGAGAGAGAGAGAGAGGTGACAGAGGTTGGTGACTCATTTCCTCTCAAGGTGAAGAGTAATGTCATGGGCTAAACCAGGCGAGGAGGAGTCTTAGAGAGGGGAGGGAAGGCAGGGACATTCAGTCCTCGCAACTGTGTCATCAGGGAAAGACCTCCTAGGAAGAGTTGCTGAGACCATCAGCCTCCTTGGGTGGCCCATCTTAACTGGTCCCCCCACCCCTGCAAAGGCTCTGAGTTCCAATACTGTTCCTTCGTGGATTTCACTTTCTACACCTCAACATTTGGAGAACTGTCCATATGTTCCTACTGTCTGCTTCCTGCTACTGAACCCATTCCTAACCCACAAAAGAACCTCTACTCTTATTCCATGACTGCTAAGCTTACTCAGTTGTCTCTAGCAAGGTACCTTGTCAAAAGCTTTTTGCAAGTCCAAGTACATTGTGTCAACTGAATCACCTCTGGTTATTGCAGACGCTCTCAAAAAACTCTTAATAGGTAAGTGAGGCAGGAGTTGCCTTGCAGAAGCATGCTGGTTTTGCTTCACCAAGGCTTGTTCTTCTCTATGTTTGGATATTTTATCTTTAACCATGCTTCCCACCAGTATTTCCAGGACAGGTGTTAAGCTAATTGCCCTGTAATTTCCAGGATCCCTCCTAAAAAAAGGTGTTACATTGGCTGCTTTCCAGTCCTCAGGTATGGAGGCTGATCTGAGGGGCAAGTTACATATTTTTGTAAGAACATCACATTTGAGTTATTTGAGAACTCTTGAGTGGATGCCATCGGGACCTAGCAAAGTGTCAGTTTTTATTTTATCTATTAGGCATACAGCTTCATCTCTCATCGCCACTATTTGCCTCATACTCCCTTCCTGCAAAGTTCAGGCACTGGGATCGGCCATAAATCTTCAGACATGAAGACAGATGCAGATAATTCATCCAGCTTCTCTGCAATCTCCTTATCCTCTTTTAGCACACCTTTTACTCCCTTGTCATCCAACAGCCTCCCTAGACGGTCTAGTAATGTATTTAAGGAACTTTTTGCTGTTGGTCTTAATATTTTTAGCAATGTGCTCCTCCCTGTTGTTGTTGTTGTTGTTGTTGTTGTTGTTGTTGTTTTCTTAGCATCTCTTACTTTCTGTTCGTACTTCTTTTGCCAAAGTTTGTGTTCCTTCTGATTCTCTTTATTTGGGCAAGACTTCCATTTTTTGAAGGACATCTTCTTTTCTCTGATAGCATTTTTGTCTCTGCTTTTTAACCATACTCTTGGTCTTTGTGGTATCTTTCTTGATCTGCTGTATACACTCCAGTTGAACTAGTAATACTGTGTTTTTAAACAGCTCCCAAGTATTTGGGAGTGATTTGACCCTCTTGGCTTTGCCTTCCAACTTCCTTTTTACCAATCCTCTTTGGGGGGGAATTGCATTTTCCTTGGCAATGGTCGATTTAAATGTCACACTAGTTTAATAGCACTATGGTCACTGTTCCCAGTTAGCCTGAAAACACTTACATCTCACACCAGGTCCTGGGCACCACTGAAGATTAGGTCCAGGGTTGCTGCCCCTCTGGTCAGTTCAATCACTAACCATTCTAGGGCACGGCCATTTAGGGTATCTAGAAATTTTACCTCTTTGTCATGACTGGAACATGTACAATCTAATCTAATCCAATCCAAATAAATTCATTGTACTAGCCATTGGCCATGACAAATCTGAATCAAAAATAAATACAAGCAAAAGGGGTGTCACACCACAAATAATGGTCGCTGTTTAGATCTCTGTGTCTCCTTTACAGTTCACTGGTATATTGTCCAGGGTCTTCTTTCTGGTCATTTTGGCCGCCAAAGCAAAAGCAAGAAGGGTGACTTTATGAGTCACTGAAGTGTTTACATCACTGAGAAGCCATAGGACCTTCTCTGCTGGGGAGATGTACAAGGGAGCATGTACAAGGGAAACCCCGCAGGGGTTCCGTTCCCGGCCACTGCACACGTTATCTGGATATATGTGAGTGGGGATTCCCCTGTTCTGCACCTGCCTGCCCCCTTTTGGTACCAAAAATGGTGCATGTGTCAGTGGGAGAACACATACTGGTTGCACACAAGTGGGCAGGCATCTGTATGTAGCCAGTCTATGTGAGGCATGAACTTTCCTCCATCGTGTGATGGCAGGCATGGGAGACATGGGCATGGTTCGCCCAAGAAGGCTGACTTGTGTAAGAGGGACAGCCCAGGGCTGGCTTGCCAATGAGGTGGGCTGAGGCAGCAGAAGCCCAAGAAGTTGTGTTCCACAGGTGCCCTGCCATTTCCACTGCTGGTGGAGAAGCAGCACCAGTAGCCTCCAGCCAGATCTTGCAAGACCTCTCCAAAACCTCCTGAGATTTCCACGAGATATTGCTGAAATGCACCAACAATGCTGCCACTTCACCAGTGGCATAGCGTGGCTTGCCGGTGCCCGGGGCCGTGTGGAGGGAGGGAAACAGATGCAGCACGCATGCGTATTCAATTGCCTAACAGCATCCGCGTCACCCATAGAGCTAAGAAGATTTGTTCCATTGTCTGGAGAGGTCACTTCCTGGTTTGCATGGAGAAGCCATTTTCAACAGAGCCCCACGATGGAAACAACAAAGTGGTGTTGTTGTTGTTGTTGTTGTTTAGTCTTTTAGTTGTGTCCGATTCTTCGTGACCCCATGGACCAGAGCACGCCAGGCACTCCTGTCTTGCACTGCCTCCCGCAGTTTGGTCAAACTCATACTGGTAGCTTCGAGAACACTATCCAACCATCTCATCCTCTGTCGTCCCCTTCTCCTTGTGCCTTCAATCTTTCCCAACATCAGGGTCTTTTCCAGGGAGTCTTCTCTTCTCATGAGGTGGCCAAAGTACTGGAGCCTCAGCTTCACGATCTGTCCTTCCAGTGAGCACTCAGGGCTGATTTTCCTTCAGAATGGATAGGTTTGATCTTCTTGCAGTCCATGGGACTCTCAAGAGTCTCCTCCAGCACCGTAATTCAAAAGCATCCATTCTTCGGCGATCAGCCTTTTTTATGGTCCAGCTCTCGCTTCCATACAGCACTACTGGGAAAACCATAGCTTTTACTATACGGACCTTTGTTGGCAAGGTGATGTCTCTGCTTTTTAAGATGCTGTCTAGGTTTGTCACAGCTGTATTAGGGTGTTGAAATTTTGCACCCCCTAACAATTTTGCACCTGGGACAACAGCCTCTGTGCCCCCCATGCTATGCCACTGCACTTTGCAGGTGTTGCCACATAACCCAGGTGGGAGGCTTCGGCCTGGGTGGGGAGGCACCTTCCTGTTTTGCCTTGGGCAGCAGAGCACCCTTACCTTAAAATGATAATACTGGAAGCAACCATAAAAGCAGTGAGAAACAGCCATCTTCTATTGTGTCCTATGGTATACTCTGCCATTTGAAGACGTTTTCCTAACTGCCTACATTTTCTTTTCTTCAATCGTAGTAGGCAATCCAGTACCCTCTGTTTACTGTTCTGCTCTGAGGGATGAAATACACTTTGCCCAAGGCCCCCAAATCTTGCACTTCCTCTCTTCAAATCTCCGATGAGTGCTTCTCCAGAGCTCTAGGTTTAATTAGTTTTCATTGCAATATTAATGACTTGCACAATCCATTGTAACTTTCCTGTTGCACAGCTGGAATCCTCTTATTTAGCATTCTTGTCCTACAAGGGAATAAGAAAAACGAATCCGCTCTTCTCCACATTTGCTGTTTGCTCCATTAATACACATTAAAGCCACCTTTTCATTCTTGCATAGCTTCAGAGCTACTATAGAGATCTCATGATTTTAAAAAACAACAACAACAGGCAGTTTTGAAGTAATTATATAGCCTCTTCCAAATAATATAAGTAGATTTTTCTAAAGTTTTCAGTCTGGCACAAATAGTCCATTAATTTATATACAAGATATCTGAGGGATATGTATAAAATCCGCTTAATTTTGCTTGGGGAGGGAGACTTAAAACCAGCTAGCAACCAAAAGCAGAAAATTCATTAGTGCACACATGCTTATACGATAAGTATCTCATATCATCTCCATAGCCAAAACCCTCCTCAGTGCTGAAGGATATTGTGTCCTCTGCTATTTATCTCCTGCAATTCTGGCTTCAAAACTCCCTGCAGAAATTACTTCTGCTGGGGGGAGAAAAAAGGTAGATTTCTCTCCATAGCGTTCTTTACTCAGGGAAATGATATCTTATAGTGGGAACTGGAATAATGCGTCAGCCGGGAGCTCACAGATCTCAGCTGCAGCAACTTTAGAGATCAGAATGGAGATTATGCAAGTTGCTGTGGAAAGAATGATATACAAATGGTGTTGTTAGTGGAGACACCGCACAGGTGTTGGGAATGTAAACTGGTCTATTAAACAGGGTTCTTGACAGCTCTTGAAGGTTCTAAATGCAGCCTTGGCAAAGTGTTCCTACTCATCCAAAAGAGAAGAGAGGCAGTAGAGGAGTCTAGGGGTCTGTTCACATTCCTGCCTTAGTGAATCTCAAACGTTTCTTCTCCACAGACGCTGAAGAAGGTCCCCCTCTTCTTGGCTGCGTCAGTGATGTCCTTTGCCTCCAGGAGGAACTGGAAGCGGGTGGTGTATCCTTCCCAGTCTCCTGAGGCTGGGCTGAACTGCATGAAGCTGTTGTCTGTTGCCATTCTGCATCCCTTGGTCCTGGAGCTGTAGCCTGGATGCGCGGTGCGATGTTGTGTTGCCTGTGGCGGCTGTGTGCGATGCACAGCGGACAGTTCAGCAAGATCCCATCTTCACCACCAGTGAAATATACTCGGAGTCCTGTAGTGATTTCATGCTTTTTATTGCAGCTTGTAAAACAGTGATTGATTCCCCCCTCCAAACCTCAGGCCTTTATATACATTATTTACACAACGAGTCCTGTCTGATTGGCTGATTCTGTTTCCCTCCTGGAGCCTGGAGTCTTCTCCTGCAGGCCAATCAGTTGTTGCATTCTACGATCCTACCAGCCTAAAAGGCTGATTAACTTCCTCCTGGAGCCTGATTGGTCTTTTCCTGCAAGCCAATCAGTTGTGGCATTCTAGGATCCTACCTGCCTATTGTTCTAGGATCCAAGCTTAGTACATAACACCTAGAGTGTAGTGAAGCTGTTGTTGTTGTTGTTTGTTTCAAAGGCCCCCCCCCCCATGTCCACATCTTCATTAGTGTCCAAGTCATTTCTGGTTCGGCTCACAACAGGGGTCACTGATGATGGGGGGTGTCTTTTTCCCCTGTGCAAAAGCGGTTCAGAGACTAACTTGAAGGCTCCAATCAGTGTGAAGCTCATTTGAGAAACAATGCCCTAAACAGTAGTAACTTATAACGAAGTACGGGATGCATATGCATTTTGGATAATGTCCACATGGATTTTTTTATAAAAATACACTGGAAATGTTCGAGTGTCCAGTAATCGGGAGTGTGAGCATAGCCTCCAAGCTAAGCTGAGATGGTCTGTACTTAATAGAACACTGCACACTTAATTTACTGTGCTTGAATACAGTTGCACGCCACCCCAGACTCCAGCTGTTTACCCAGCTTTCGGTTTCCTTGGAGTTAGGGATAGCAGAGACTGTAGTGTCTTTATGTTATAGGGTTTATTTACAAAAACCTACAACCCAGGATGGAGGGACTCATAGCATTAACACCCCAGAAGGTGTTGCTTCTCCCATATCAACAGCTGGATTCAAGCAGAAATTAAGCGTGGCTCTCCCTCTCTGCCTGCAGCCTGCTTCTAGCCGACCTACTTCCAGCCAGGTAAGGGATGAGGTCCACCCCTTTGCCCTCTGGCACGGAGCCTGGCTAATTCAACATTGAGATGCTCCATTAGATTCTAATCCTTCCCGGATCCAGGAATTAGAAGGGACGGAGGCATCATACAGCCTGACTCAAACTGTGCAATCCTATGTCTGCTTACTCAAACTCACGACAATACAAAATAGCAAAACAGATGATTGCTAGTTGTTGTGAGTTATAGGGGAAGCTGTGGGAATACAGTGGAATACAGTGGAATCTCAGTTTTCGAACGTTTCGGAAGTGAAAACCCGGAAGTAATTGCTTCCGTTTTTGAACGTGCCTTGGAAGTCAGACGACTTCTACTGTGTGTTTTTATTTTCTCTCAATGGATTTTGCCAACCGCCCATTGCTCCTCAGTTTTAAAACGTTTCAGAAGTCAAACAGTCTTCTGGAACGGATTACAGTGGTACCTCAGGTTAAGTACTTAATTCGTTCCGGAGGTCCGTACTTAACCTAAAACTGTTCTTAACCTGAAGCACCACTTTAGCTAATGGGGCCTCCTGCTGCTGCTGCACTGCCAGAGCACAATTTCTGTTCTTATCCTGAAGCAAAGTTCTTAACCTGAAGCACTATTTCTGGGTTAGCAGAGTCTGTAACCTGAGGAGTATGTAACCTGAGGTACCACTGTACGTTTGAAAACCGAGGTTCCACTGTACTGACATATTCTAAATAATGTTGTGTTCAATACACAAAAGACAAACCATAGTTTTAAAGACCATAATACTATGCATACTTACAAAGTGGTGCACATGGATTTCATAGGAGTGAGAACCTTGGTCACAGTTTCCTCCACTGTCTCCCCTTGCAGTGTGGGCTTGCTGAAACAACCACTACACTTTCCAAATCTTGTCTTGGAATATTAATTTCATTCTGAATCTTCACTTGTTGGAGCCATGCATGCAGTCATTGCCGAACAAACACCAGCATTTCTTGCCTTCCTTTAACATTACAGCAACTTGAGAATGAAGATATGATTTTTATCTTATCACAAATTCTTTTTTAAGAAATTGAAAATGGGTTAACAAGCTGTCCTGAAAACATAGCAATAACTCACTGGACATGAACCATCCACATCTGACCTAACCTATCCATGCTTTGCCTAGTCCATTTCTGTCGTTCCATACATAGCACTTGATGTTGTCATCATTTCCACTGTGTTATGTACTGTACAAAACCACCTCTCCCTCACAGACACCTTCTATACAATAGCCAGGCTGGATTCTTTGGCTGGTCTGTCTAATGAACGCTCAAGTTAGAGTTGTTCAGTAGCCCTTTTCAACGCTATTGGCGCCATGTCAGGAAGTCTTTTTGTATCTGAAAGATAAGCGCCATCTTGCATAGTTCTGTTGTCTAAAGCAAAGGTGAGTAGGAAAGTCTCTTCAAAACCTCCAAGATGCATGCTGAAGTCCCTCTATTCTGTTGGCCTTTGAGGCTGATGCCAAACACAATTTAAAGACGGATGCAGAAAGTTACAAGTTGGTGACAGGGAACAGCGATGACTAATGAAATCCCGACAATTAATCTGTCTGTGTCATTCAACTGTTAAGTATCTCATCATGGGTTCAAACTCCTTGTTGGGCAAAAGGGGTTTGGACTAGATGACCCCCACGATCCCTTCCAACTTTAAAGGTCTGTGATTCATTGTTGCCTTTCAGTACCGATAATGCAGCTGTTGACCCTTGGCTTAATCCCTCGTGTCATGACCATCACCCGCAAATTCATACCACAAGAAGAGCAGAGATACCAATTTAGCTGTTGCTTAATTGCATTCCCTTTCAATATGAAGTGGGCTGTGAGTTGCAGTCAGACATACATGCCAGAATTTGTGAGGGTGTGGAAAAGTACTCAGACATTTCTAGGAATTCCATTAGCAACAGAAATGTTCCAGCTTGTAATATTGTGTGCTTGAATTCCTCAGGTTCAGCATGTTGCATGTTGTGAGTGATTATATACACTAAGATTTCACAGGCATCAGTCACATGCAAGTGCGGACATACCTTGCGCAAGAACATCGACATGTTCTTCAGTAGCAACTAGCCGTTATGTACAGGGTGAAATCCAGTCACATCTGGCTCAGGGCTCACATGAGTCATGACCTCTCATCCGAGTGACATAGTATCTCTTCCAGCCTATTCTGCTCTGTTCCTTGATGGGTTCGTCAGCTATCAGATATCGTCAAAGCAGCCATCTGATAGCTTCTGGAGATTCAATAGTTATTGTGTTTAAACAGTGTTCACTTAGAAACCATTTGTTTGACAGTTCAACAACATGGGAAGAAATATTGACCGTTTTATAGGGACAAGAGTAATGAGACACTTAACGGTGATGGTGCGATAGCACAGCGCTCTTGAACTGCCTGCGATTATGGTTTGCATTGTATTCTGGCGGAAGGTGTCTGAGCGTCGCATGACGATTTTGCACTATTACTATCGATGTGTCACAAGTTGCTGTTCCTTTAAAATGACCTCTGTCTTCAAAGGCAAGAGTGCCTGTGACATATTGAATGAGTCTGCCAGGAAGGAATCATAGATGAACAGGGATGCGGGTGGAACTGTGGTCTAAACCACTGAGCCTCTTGGGCTTGCCGATTGGAAGGTCAGCAGTTCAAATCCCCACAATGGAGTGAGCTCCCTTTGCTCTGTCCCAGCTCCGGCCTACCTAGCAGTTCAAAAGCACGTCAGTGCAAGTACAGTGGTACCTCAGGTTACAGACGCTTCAGGTCACAGACGCTTCAGATTATAGACTCCGCTAACCCAGAAATAGTACCTCGGGTTAAGAACTTTGCTTCAGGATGAGAACAGAAATCATGCAGTGGTGGCGTGGCGGCAGCGGGAGGCCCCAATAGCAAAAATGGTACCTTGGGTTAAGAACAGTTTCAGGTTAAGAACGGACTTCCAGAACGAATTAAATTCTTAACCCGAGGTACCACTGTAGATAAATATGTACCGCTGCGGCAGGAAGGTAAACAGTGTTTCTGTGCGCCCTGGTTTCTGTCACGGTGTTCCATTGCACCAGAAGCAGTTTAGTCATGCTGGCCACATGACCCGGAAAGCATAGCTGTCAACGTTTCCCTTTTTTAAAGGGAAATTCCCTTATTCCGAATAGGATTCCTCACAAGAAAAGGGGAAAGTTGACAGCTATGCTGGAAAGCTGTCTGATTGGTATAGAATGGGCTTCCTCTAAGATGGGTGGCGATTCGTGGAAGTGAGCATTGTCAGACTGGCCAATTCTAGTATTTAAGTCACCTGCCACTATCACTGAGGCTACAGGGAACTGATTCATCAGTTTGTCAATGTACGATTCCAGCCTGAACTAGATGTTTTTTATCAACTGCTTTCCTCTTTGAGGAAAACCATAAGCGCAGGCAGTTCAAGAGATTTGCGCTATCGCAGCATCACCCTATCGTGGGGATTCGAACCACTGACCTTCCGATCAGCAAGTCTGGTTTATAAATACTTATGCCACAAGAAATCTGTTATTCTCAAGGTGTAGGATATTTTCCTTTTCTTTTTTTTAAAAAAGATGAGTAGCGATTCAGCATAGGGTTCATCCACAGTTCCACTTGTGTTTGGAAAAGCCTCTCCTCCTTCCAGAGGGGAGGGGTTGTGAGCGGGAGCCGATTCCTGCGCTTCACAGGGGGCGTTCCGCCCCCTGCCCTGCCATCGTCACTGGCGCACCACACCTCCCAGATGGGCACCCAATCGAGTGCCAGCTCAGGGGCGTGGTTTAGCCGCTCAAATGTGGCCGTGCCAGCTCTCGCCTCCATTGTGCTGCTGATTTCCTCGAGTCACCCACTCACCACTCCCTTTAGTGCGTAGCTTCTCACTTGACCTTGCTATGGACCCATGGTTGGTCGCCCTGGTTGCCCAGGGGGCCTGGTAGGAGTTTTTTCCAATTGGCAAATTGGCACCGGCCTCTTGGTTTTTTTCACCTACCTCGTAGCAATCGTCACAACTTTCTTGGTATTTGGCGGTTAGGCAATAGAATGTGTTGATGGTGTATGGAAGGGCAAGGTGTGGCCATCGCCTACCCCTTCACTTATGGGTATTCCATTAAAGGAATCAGGCGGTCGTGGATCCTGTCCGATGCCATGTGGGGCAGAGGGCCATGGCACGACCCCCGGTGACATCAGGGGAGAGCTTATAGTTGTATTTGCATCAACAGGCTCCCCCTACTGGTGGTTAACCCTAGACAGACTCACCCCTCTTCGAGTGGGTGGAGTCAAACTTTGCTGTTGTCCAATGCCTAAGCCAATACCTCTCACATGCTGTAATCAATAAAGTTGTGGCCTTTTCTAGCCCATTAATCGAATATGCTGTGTCCATGTGTCTTTATTATTCTCAAGCGTGGGACGGGTCCTCGAATCACAAGCACTGGTCCAAGTGGTCTTCTGCTTTATCCATGCTTTCTAGGCATGGGTCCTAGCAGTTGTCCCCTTGCCCCGCTCCCTTCCCAAATTGTTGTGGTTTTCCCTGGGGGAAAGCAAGGGAACGAGAGAAAGTGTGGACTTCAGAGTCCTTGTTCTTAATTTCATTTGTTAAATTTAACTTCAGAAGGTGACGCGTTATTTGCATTCCAGAATACAACAGAGCAAGCCCTGTACTGGAATGCAGCTGTCGAAAACCACAAGCTTAAAATGAAGTTCACGCAATGACAAACAAGGAGAGCAGAGAGGTGCTACTAATTTCACAAGGTCATCTTCCCATCTAGCCTGGGAATATCCACAGAGTTCTAAAAATAATCAATCTCGACTGGGAAGGTAAGGGGACAGATTTGGGAGCGTCCGTCTGAACGCGACCCTTACACAGGAAAGCTTAGAATCCTGGCAACACAGGAGATCAAGCGAAGAAGGTGTTGACGAAAACAGGTCACAAAAGCAGGAGAGCAGCGTGGGCAGAGTGGGAATGGGATGCCTGGCTCGGCCATTCTTGCATAGTCATCAATAATGGCTGCCTTTCCCTCTGCCGGGGCACACATGTGTACGTCCATCATGACAATATGCGCAGAGCTTTCTCCAAGAGTGGATCCTGGGAAAAGATCCAGTGCCCTTGCCTCCAATTATAGCCCTATCGTCACCGTGTGCAGTAAAAGGCAGCAGGGGGGGGGGCAGACACACCATTTGGCAGAAGAAGTGTTTGGAAACTGTATTAACAGCTGAGATCCTATCCGTGGCTTGTGGCAGGCCATTGCTCAGGAGAAATCATATCCAAGATGGCTTTTGTTGTGCTAAAGTGAACCACTTGTATCCCGCCCCCGCCCCCGCCCCCCGCTGCTCATCACACATATAGAGTGGGGGAAAGGCTTTACCTGAATTTACTACGGCTGACCTTTGTTTCGCACATATACGAAGCTCCAGAAATGCTGGGAAATGGCAGGCATCGACTACGTGGGTCACGCGTGCAACTGTTCACTTATTAACGATAGAATGCAATAATAATAATAATTCCATTCCTGAAAAGGCAGCTTAATACCAGCTGAGCCGGAAGTAAGTATGAGAGCTGCCAGAAGGCAAATCAATCTCAGAGGAAGTATTGCGTCTGGAAGCGGGACAATTTCTCCTTAACTGCACGAACTGGAGGACCATATCCATAGTAACCGTAGGAGGGTGAACTATACTCTGAGTCGAGAGTGGATTTCATGCTCTTTATTCAGCTCATAGTGGTGAGGAGGAATGGAAGTTCCCCCAGAATGTCTGCTTTATATACATTATTTACACAATGGGCCCCAAGTGATTGGCTAATTCCGGGATTCTCCTGTAGGCCAATCAGGTTGCAGATTCACTTCCACCTGGAGCTGGATTGGGTGGCTCCTGCGGACCAATCAGATTGCTGCATTCTGAATCCTATTGTTCTAGGACCAATCAGACTGCTGCATTTTGGATCCTATTCAACTCAGTACATAACAGAGGGATAGACCGCTGGGGTGTTTTTTGTATTTGCATCATCACTGGGTAGGGGAAATCCAAGTTTAAGCCTGAAATGGACTGGGATAGGGACTGGGGGGGGGGGCATGTGGATGGGGGCCAAATTCAGGGGCAAGGAGATGTAAATGTGCATTAATCTTGGGGGCCCTTGTAGCCAAAAGATGGGATAGACAAGTTGTTTTCTAGCTGCTGTGTAGCAGAAGCAAGTTATGAGTGTAGAAGTGGTCCCCAGCAATAGGGGGACACAGCCTCCCCTCCCTCTCTTCCTTCTCTGCAGAAGGAGTAGGGGGTGGAGAGTGGAACCAACCCTCCAGTCCTCTCCCTTCTTTCCCAGGAATATATTGCAGTGTATGTGACCTGCTTGCAACCTCTCAATGACCTGTTTGCAAACTGAGCTCCCAGATCAAGGCTGGTGCAGCCTTCGTGGACATCCAGCTCAGCTCATCTACTGCATATTTTCGAAACTGGTTTGTCTGTCCATTTATTTTCCACAGGTTTGGATGCCTCTCGAGGTATCATTGCCAAATCGCATCCCAGTTTTTATCAAAGGAACACTGGAGGGTACGTGATGGACTAACTGGAAGTGCTGGCAACCTCTACCAGCTCCAACCTTCTCTTCTGCTCTGCACCGAGACTTCATCAGAAAGCGAGCTGTTGAAAGCTCTTTCCAGGAAGATGTTCCATGCCCTCCGCTTCTCCTAGAGTTCTCTGAATTGGCTCTTGTTGCTGGAGGTCAAAATAGCCTCTGCATTTGATCCTCCCACCGGAAGGCAGGTTATTCCTTCAAATAGGCAGCCTCTCTGTTAAGGCCCCATGCCTTAACAGAACTCTTTGACTTGCTCCTCTGATCAACCTCTACTCTAGGCAAACCCCTATAGGGAGGTGGGGAAAGAGGACAGGACAGTTTCTGCAAACTCAGTTTATGTGCTTCCCAGGAGGAAAAACAGTTCTTGTCCCATATAGCAAGACCCTAGCTCAAGCAACTGTTTTGTGAGGGATGAGCTTCCTTCCTTCCTTCCTTCCTTCCTTCCTTCCTTCCTTCCTTCCTTCCTTGTACCAAGGGAAAATATGCCATTTGTGCACTTAATGGTAGCTGAACAACAAAAACTAGGCCAAACTAGATATGATGGGTCAGCCACACTTGTTCACATGTACGAAATGAAAGACGGTGGTTCACATGAGTTGGGAGAGCTGAATCTCCTCCCCTTCCTTCTCAGATAATGGCTCAAATGATGTAAAAGAGATTTAATGGACTTGGTGAGGGTGAATAAACTGGAGTTCGATCCATATAAAAGAGAGTTCCTCTTTGTGAATGGTTCATAAGTCCCAAAGGGGGTTGGCTCTCTGCTCTGGGTGGAGTTCTGTTCGTTCTTATGGAGCTGCAAAGATGCTCACAGATCTGGACCTTAACTTGGATGCCCTAAAAGAATCTGTGGCATAAAATGTCTTTCACCAACACTGACTGGTACATTAACTCCAATCCCTCCTGGACAGATAAAGACTGGCAGCATGTATTGCTGTTGAAGACTACTTGCTGTTGAAGACTACTCAGATTCTTCAGAAGATGGAAAACATAGCAGCAAGAGTAGGCCTGAAGGAACATGTCTTGCCGGTACACAGGACTTGCGGTATGTTTCAATGCAACTGTCATCTGGCAGGGATGATGGTGAAGTTCTCCTTAGCTAGATTGCAAAAGAACTTCAGGTGTTTAGTAAAGCTTACCGCAAAGCAAAGGTGAGGTTTTCACACTCTCAAATTCTTTTCCAGCTCAGATTGAAATAGCCAACCATAAGACCCTCCAAGTTTCCCTATTTTCCAGGGACAAGCCATCCCAGTTTCTGAATTGATCCTGGAATGTCCTGCTTTTCCTTAGGACATCCTTATTTTCATCGGAGAAATGCTGGAGGGTATGGAGTTATGCAACCCCCGAGCCAAGGAGATATGCATCTATACAACCTTTAGAAGACATCTGAAGGCAGCCCTGAATAGAGAAGCTTTTCAATGTGTAATGTTCTATTATGTTTTTATATATGTTGCAAGCTGCCCAGGGTGGCTGCGGCAACCTAGCCAGATGGACAGGGTAGAATAATAATAATAATAATAATAATAATAGTAATAATAATTGAATAGAATGTCCCTATTTTCATTGGAAAAATGTTGGAGGGTGTGCCAATGTGAAGGAGCAATGTTGCTCCATTACTTTCCCGCTTTGCCAGCCCATCCTTATGCCAGCCCGTAGCCTTGGGCTTTTCCAGCAGCAGTGCCTGAATGTAATGGAATCCAGCATTGCTCCATTTACATTCAGTAGGGTGACATTCAGAGACTGAAGTGGCAACGACTGGTTGTGGTACAGGATCCCGCTCTCTTCAGATTCTTCTCCAAGTGCCTCTACCTTCAAAGGTAAGCTGGCTAATATTCAGGGAGAAGGCCTTAATTATTCGGAAATCGCTCAATGGGCTCATGGCAACCCCAAATATTACAAATGACTCAACCCACGGAGAGATCTATTACGCTGATGATTTCCAAGGGGGAAACTTGTTAAAACTAGCTCTGGAAAAATATAAATGAAGGATCATACCACAATTACTGTATGGTGCACTCTTGTGGACCATTGATAAGCTAGATTAATTAGAAAAGGTACAAAATATGTTTGCATGGAGGCTGTTTTCAATACCTAGATCAACAAAGCTAGCTACAGCTGGAGCGGAATTAGATTTAGCCTTAATTAAAAACCAGGCATGTGCATTAGCATAGTTTTTATGGCTGAAGATTACCTTTCAAAAAGCTGCAGAAGAGATAGTGGTAGTTTGTGGAGATGGTGAGGGAAATTTTTGGTGGTAGAAGTTCCATACGGCACTTCTGAATTTGGGCTTTTCTGTTCCTTACTAATATGGCTTTGGGTTAGGTCAAGGTTGGAAGAGTGTTGTTGCACAGATATTTCATCTCAAAATAACTGCATTAATATTTTTTTCTGGTAAATCAAAGTCTCTATACCCTCCAGAAATTGGACTGCTCCTGCTCAGGTCCTTAAGTACTTTTAACATTTGGCGCATGTGTGTGTGTGTGTGTGTGTGTGTGTTTGTGTGTGTGTGCCAGTACTGCATACATGTTAGTACCCCCAGGAAAAAACCACTGGTCTAAATAAATAATCCTTCCTTGCAGTTGGTCACCCAAACTCCTGTTCTCCTCAAGCCCAGTGGGGTTTCTCTGACACGAGAAGTGAGATAGGTGGAAAGTATAGGTGTCTGGAGATACGGACCGCAGGAAGGAAAAAAGAAGAGGGTGAAGAATTCAGTGACCAGGTTGCTCACCGGAGCAAGACTGTTTGAGCATATTACAGTGGTACCTTGGGTTACATACACTTCAGGTTACAGACTCCGCTAACCCACAAATAGTACCTCGGGTTAAGACCTTTGCTTCAGGATGAGAACAGAAATCGTGCAGAGGCGGGGCGGCAGCAGCGGGAGGCCCCATTAGCTAAAGTGGTGCTTCAGGTTAAGAACAGTTTCAGGTTAAGTATGGACCTCTGGAACGAATTAAGTTCTTAACCTGAGGTACCACTGTACACAGATCCTGGTCCGACTGCACTGGCTACCAATGAGTTTCCGGGCCCAATTCAAAGTGCTGGTTTTGACCTATAAAGCCTTAAACGACTCAGGACCACAATACCTCAAGGACCATCTCTTTCCATATGAACCTACCCAGACCCTGACATCATCTTCTGAGGCCCTTCTTCATGTGTCTCCTTGAGAGGTCTGGAGGGTGGCAACACAAGAACGGGGCCTTCTCTGCAGTGGCTCCCCTTCTGTGGAATGCTCTCCCCAGGGAAGTTCGCCTGGCGCCTTCATTATACACCTTTAGGCACCTGGCAAAAACATTCCTTTTTAACCAGGCCTTTGGTTGATCCGATTTACATCCTATGCCCTTTTAAAATGTGGTTTTTTGGGGGGGGCACTACTGGATTGTTTTTATTTTTATTAGGTATTTTGTGGTTTTATATCTCGATTTTCTTCTGTGAACTGCCCTGAGACCCCCGGGTATATAAATTCAATAAATAATAATAAAGAAGGGGCAGACACTCTTTACACAGCTTTCTTGCAAAAATTACACCCCCAACCTCCTGTTTCACAATGCAGAGACATGGGCAAGAAACTGTGCAGCTCCAATCACATCTAGTTTGGCCCTTCAGACAGAACACAGGAGCAACGTCCCAGTTATCTGGTAGTCTCATCGCTTAAATATAAGGCCACTGATCTAATGACTCAGGGTTAGTTTTCACCAGCATTAAGTCCTGCCACTGTGAGCTGATTGGCAGCTCTTCACTTAAAACAGCTCAGACTTGATGAAACAGCTGTGGTGACTTGGCTCAGTCCATGCTAAAGTCCTGCTACGTCCAGGCTCTTTCACTTAAAACACGTGAAAATGTAGGTAAAGACAAAATAAACAAAGAAATTAAAAAGAAATTTACCGTATTTTTCGCTCTATAGGACGCACCAGACCATAGGAGGGGGAGAACAGGGAGGGGGAAATCTCCCCCTCTCTGCTTACAGACCTTTAATAATAATAAGAATAATAAATGTAGGTTGCATCAACAGACATAGCATCCAGAATGAGAGAAGTAATGATACAGCTCTATTGAGCAGAATACTGAAAGACTGGGACATGCCATACAGGGGTACCAACTTGAATAAAAGGGGACAGGTGGGGGACAGGTAAGCCCCACCTTGCATAATCAATCACAAGGCATGGCACATGCACATCAGCTTTGGCCCCCTCAATTGCGGGGCAGGGCTGAAGGGACCTTGGCCCCTAGGTGTTGTCTCCTATGTGCCCATAGAAGGGTGAAAAGGATGGTGAGAAGGCCTGGAGACCCAAAATCTATGACAAACAGTTGAAGTAGGTGAGTATATTTAGCCCATATAAGAGAACCAAAATGAAAGCCATCTTCAAATATCTGAAGGGCTGTCACATAGACAACAGTTTACTTTTCCGTTGCTCTAGAAGGCAGAACCTGGACCTAGAAAGGGGATTTTGGCTAAACTTTAGGAAGAACCTCTGGATGATAGGAGCTGCTTGAAAGTGAGACAAACTGCCTCAGAAAATGGTGAGCTCACCCTTATAAAAGTTTCAACAGAGGGTGTATGGCCAGCTATCAGGATTTCCTGCTTTCGCACTGGGTTGGACTAAATGATTAAATTACCATTCCAAGTCTAGGAGTTTTCCCAAGGAAATCTAGCCTCAGTAGGTGTTATATCTCAACTGAGTGTGGTCAATGTAACGATATTGTTTTCCTACATAACTTTAGGTAACTCCAGCCATGATTAGAGGTAGGTAGGGGATTGAATCATAGAATTGTAGAGTTGGAAGGGACCCTGACGATCATCTAGTCCAACTCCCTGCAGTGCAGAATTCTACCCACAGCTATCCCTGGGTGGGCTTGAACCACCAACCTTCTGGTTAATAGCCTGATGCACTAACCCATTGCACCACAGGAGATTCTGAGAGGCAGATGACATTCCAGATAATAATGACAGAAGCAGGATTAAGGCACGTAATACTGTCTGTACTTGCTGCTTTAGTCCTATTATTATTATTATTATTAATTATTATTATTCCTCACCCATCCGACTGGCTTCCAACATATATTAAAACATAATAAAACATTTGATTATTATTTTTTAAACCCTTCCCTATACAGGGCTGCCTTCAGATGGCTCGGGGGTCGGATAGCTCCATAGCCCCCAACATTTCTCTGAGGAAAATAGGGACGTCCTAGGGTGATACAGGGACACAGGTGGCACTGTGGTCTAAACCACTGAGCCTAGGGCTTGCCGATCAGAAGTTCGGCAGTTCAAATCCCTGTGACAGGATGAGCTCCCATTACTCGGTCCCAGCTCCTGCCAACCTAGCAGTTCGAAAGCACGTCAAAGTGCAAATAGATAAATAGGTACCACTCCAGCAGGAAGGCAAACGGTATTTCCGTGCACTGCTCTGGTTTTGCCAGAAGCGGCTTAGTCATGCTGGCCACATGACCCGGAAAAATTGTCTGCGGACAAACACTGGCTCCCTCGGCCTGTAAAGCGAGATGAGCGCCAGAGTCGTTTGCGACTGGACTTAACTGTCAGGGTTCCTTTACCTTTAAGGAAAAGCAGGACATTCCGGGATCCAATGAAAAACTGGGATGGCTTCTGTAAATGCTAACAACTTCCATAATTGCTTTGATCCAGGTTGGGAACAGCCCGTTTCCTATTTGCAAGAGCAAAGCACGGCTTGCTGATGACATGCAACATCCACTCATTATCTAATATTTTACTGCAACCTTCAGAATGAAACTCAATGCTTGAGCGTCTTTCCTATTAAAGCCGCTCTTTCTATTGGCTTCCGAAGGACAGGCAGGGCTGTGTCTCGGAGAATGCAGTGCGCGATACATCTGTCCTGCCCTGATGATGAAATGGGCTATTTATGAAATGACACTACGAAGACAATCATGTGCGTAACTCATGGGCACATTTCTGGCTTATTATTTTTAATGATGACTTTCATGAAAACATTTGCGCCCGCCACCCGATGGCATGAAAATGCGGCGGTTTATGGTTTGAATCACCCTTGGGGGCTGGCCAATCGCAGAACATTATATTCTGTCACTCAGTTATCTTTGAAGCATTGCCAGCGGAGAAGCTGTGTGTAAAAATAGCCTGTGAGTGCCTGCTTGTTACTTGACACTGCGTGGCTATTCCAATACGTATGTTTGCTCTTCCCCAACCATGTTCTACACTTGGTTCCTCCTTGCCTAAGATATATTTAAGTATGTTTTACGGACTTTGATTTCTCGCTTCGTTTCACCTATTTGGGCGGATCTTGAGGGGAGTGGGAAAGACTTGGCTGCTTCCACTTCGAAAAACCACTGTTCTCATTCACACGAAAGGATATGACTTACAGGAAGTCTGAGGGGTAAGCGAACTACTTTGGAAATAAATGTGCTGGGAAGCTGGCTCAGCTGAAGACAGCACCGTGGCCCTCCGCCTCTGATCAAAACACTTGGATCTAGAAGGTAAGGTGCAAGGAACTGCATGGGTGTTGTGATGTGTGCTTTCGGCTGTGGGTTCAAGGGCAGCATGGAAGCACATCATGTGAAACTGATCAGATGCGAAACACGAAACAGTTTATTATTATTCCCCCCCCCCCATCAGGCCAGATCTCTTGAGCTCAGCTGAAAAGCAGGGAAGTTGTCCTCCAGGTGGATAGATTTTTTTGCTCTGATTTATCCAAGCCAATGTTGCAGTCAAATGTAAAGATATTAAGGCTACGATTCCATGCACATATGTGAGAGCAAGGGGCAGTAAGCTCTGTGGGACTTATTTCTGAGTAAACGTGCATAGGAGTGGGCTGTTCAAGTGTCACTACATATGAACCAAGGCTGCACAGCAAGGTTTATCATGTTTAGGTTTATTTTCTAGCTGAAGATTTACTTTCATAAATCTCAGATGTATATTACACTGGGGTGTGGAGAATGCTGTTGGACACACAGTGTGACACAAACATTTGTCTAGACAGACATTGGTCTAATGTCAGTTAGATATTCTTATGTCAGTTAATTACCTATGAAGCGAGGATAGTATTACTGGGACTATTCAATGGTATTCCCTTTAATCTAGGAAACCAATCCCCAACAGCTTGGACCTCTGAGGTCCAGATGCCAAGATTTGAGGTCACAAAAACTGTGTTTCGTTATTCCGACTTGTAATATACAAGCAGATTATGGAAACCCCTGTCCTCTTGTATTCCGTAATGTGTCTTGCACTATGGAAATTATAATAACTAATAGTCTTACACAAAATGGTGTAGATATAGAGTTACTGTGATGAGCAAGAAAAACATTTTTGCTTCTCTGCCAGTGCAGCAAGATACAAGCGGGTGGCAGTTGGAAACTCTTATTTTCTTATGGCAACGGCTTTGCTTGGGAGTGGCAATAACAATGTTGCTTAGGGTCATTGTCCAAAATGGCCCTGAAAGGAAGACTAGAAAGGCATTGAGGCTAGGCCTGTCAGGCTCCTAGAAGCACAGAACCTGAGAGACAGTGAGCATCGTGTGAGAGTTGTGCCTTGTAGGCCAGGGGCTTGAAGCTGCCGAGATGTGGACAGCACTTGCTCTGTCATGGGACCAACATGTGGTCTGATGAGCAGGGGAGGGCAGTAATGGTAGAAGCACACAAGCCAAGCTGACAACAGTATGCCCACTTCTTCCTATTACCTCGCCTTGAGACTTTAGTTCTTGTCCTGGAGACCCTGAGAAGGAGGCTAACGTTCGGAAGTCTCAAGTCAGCTAATGAGATCTGTTATCACATATCCAACAACATTTCCCTGATGAAAATAGGGACATCCCATTCCACCTATTAAAGGAGCTCCCGTTGCTCGGTCCCTGCTCCTGCCAACCTAGCAGTTCAAAAGCACGTCAAAATGCAAGTAGATAAATAGGCACCGCTCCGGCGGGAAGGTAAACAGCGTTTCCGTGCGCTGCTCTGGTTTGCCTGAAGCAGCTTAGTCATGCTGGCCACATGACCCAGAAGCTGTACGCCAGCTCCCTTGGCCAATAAAGCGAGATGAGCACCGCAACCCCAGAGTCGGCCATGACTGGACCTGATGTTCAGGGGTCCCTTTACCTTTACCTATTCCATAATAATAATTTTATGATTTATACTCCGCCCATCTGACTGGGGTAACCCAGCCACTCTGGGTGGCTTGCAGCACATATAAAAACATAATAAAACTTTTTTAAAAGCTTCCCACTACAGAGCTGCCTTCAGATGCCTTCTAAAGGTTGTATAGTTACTTATCTCCTAGGCTCGGTGGCCACATGACTCCATACCCTCCAACATTTCTTTGGTGAAAATGGAAATGGCCTAAGGAAAAGAGGGACATTCCGGGATCAAATCAGAAACTGGGATAGCTTCTGTAAATCCAGGTCTGTCCCTGGAAAACAGGGACACTTGGAGAGTCTTCCTCAACCTCGCCCCTCCAGATGTTTTTGGCCTACAACTCCCATGATCCCTAGCTAGCAGGACCAGTGGTCAGGGATGATGGGAATTGCAGTCTGAAAACATCTGGAGGGCCAAGGTTGAGGAAGCCTGGTCTGCAGCAGCTGTACCCAGTGTGCTGGATTTGGGGCTAAGGGGAAGATTTGGTTTCAGGCATTTTCCCTCGACACCAAGAGCACCATTTTTTCCCCAGCCTTACAGCCATGACCCACTAAATAACTCTAGTCGGTCCTTGGTATTCTATGCAACTTCTTCCTTCTTCCAGCACCCTTGCTCCATGGCCACCAAAGCAAGCTCAAGCCTCCATCTCTGGCGGGGGCCATAGGAACCAGCTCCTAGGGGGCTGAGGTCCCTTCACACACCCCTAAAATATTTGAGGGAAGCTATTTCCCCAAGGTTGATGGGCATTGCCATTCAAATGGTGTGGGTGCACTGTGTCATGTGACACCTGCCCCTCCCACATTTTCTTCAACTTGGCTCTCCTGAGAGGGGCTGATTTAGGCTGTTGTCATTGCCTCTAGGGCGCCCAGGTTGAAAAAGAGGGCTTAACATTTCTGTAAAAGAGGTATTTACAGCAAACCCTCCAAATGTTCTGGATTTCCAGAAGCCGGCCCGGTTTCTGATTTGATCCTGGAATGTACTGCTTTTCCATAGGGCATCCCTATTTTCATCAGAGAAATGTTGGAGGGTATGCAATTATGTGACCCCCCGAACCAAGTAAATATACAACCTTTAGAAGACATCTGAAGGCAGCCCTGTATAGGGAAGTTTTTTCAAAAAATGTTTAATGTTTTGTTATGTTTTTCTATATGGTGCAAGCCACCCAGAGTGGCTGGGGGAACCCAGTCAGATGGGTGGGTTATAAATAATAAGGTTATCATTAATATTATTGTAGAATAGGACGTCCCTAGTTTCATCGGAGAAATGTAGGAGGGTATGAGCTTGTCTGCTACACAACTATTAAAGAGCCTTCTCTTTTTCAACTAGCAGCTTTTAATCGTGACTGCAGCAACAACAGAAAGCCCAGCATGCTTCAAAACCGTACTGTGTCAAACCCACTAACTACTGCTGCCCCCTCAAAATGTGACCAGTTTGGGTCTAATAACTGGTCTGGAGGCACCAGTGCTCAGCCCAGAAGATGGAAGGGGTCCTAAGGGCACAGATTTTGCGTGCAAAAAGTATCAGGCTCAATCCTGGTGGGGAAGGGGAACTCTCCTTGACAACAGAGACTAGTCAGGCTTCTCAAAAAGCCTGACAAACAATTGAAGAAAATAATCATCTCCTCTTCAGCCTGTGCTCCCATGCACACACACAGTTAAATTTAACTTCATAAACCCTTCTGTGTGACTTATCACCAGGACATTCAAGATGTGTATTCATATTAGGCAAAAAGCCTGACCTCCCTCCCTCCCTCCCTCCCTCCAACAGATAGCTGGCAAAATATTTGCCCGCCAGCTTACCCAAGCTGAAGGTTATGGCAGTGGCTGACCCAAGGAATCGCTGAATTCTTGGAGCAGGAGCCAAAACCTGGGAAACCAAACACCATGTTATGTCTCCCTATCTGCTGCCTCGAGCTGCTAAGCGTCATGTATATTCTGCTTTGATTATGTCTGCTTTGGCAATAACTGGAGCTCAGCTGAAAGTTCCTGAGAACCATGTGGGACAAAGAAAATGGAGAGATGAGGTTGGAAAAGCCTGGCATGCAACCAAGCATGGTCAGATTAGCAATTTCGGGCAGGGCATGACCTCAGATTAATCTGCTCTGCTTACAACTTTGCTCCCTCGCTGTGTCTCGAGACTTGTTGTTTAGTCGTTTAGTCGTGTCCGACTCTTCGTGACCCCATGGACCAGAACACGCCAGGCACTCCTGTCTTCCAGTGCCTCCCGCAGTTTGGTCAAACTCATGCTGGTAGCTTCGAGAACACTATTCAGCCATCTCGTCCTCTGTCATCCCCTTCTCCTTGTACCCTCCATTTTTCCCAACATCAGGGTCTTCTCTTCTCATGAGGTGGCCTTCTCATGAGGTGGCCAGAGTATTGGAGCCTCAGCTTCAGGATCTGTCCTTCCAGTGAGCACTCCGGGCTGATTTCCTTCAGAATGGATAGGTTTGATCTTCTTGCAGTCCATGGGACTCTCAAGAGTCTCCTCCAGCACCATAATTCAAAAGCATCAATTCTTTGGCGATCAGCCTTCTTTATGGTCCAGCTCTCACTTCCATACATCACTACTGGGAAAACCATAGCTTGTGCCTTTGTGTGTATGATGGGTTTCATCAGACCTAGTCCGACATTACA